GCGTTCTCGCTTCTTCTTTTTGTTCAAGTAATCGCCGATAAGTTTCCAAGCTGTTGTTCACGATGTGGTTTTCGCAGCGCGCGTTCCGTCGCGCTGAAAAGCTTCCGTTGAATTCGAGCGAAACTTTTTGTCAACCGGGATTTAATTAAATTAAATTGCGCGTTCTGTTCGAGCGGTTGCGACGTAACGGGAAGAGAGTCGAGAAAGAAAGGAAACGCGTATCCTGGGAGTCTCGGGGGACGCGTGTGCCAGCAATTTTTTCTTTTTAGGTCCGTTCGTTAGGTTCATCCCAACCTTTTCCGTAGCCAGAAGGCAAACAATCAGAAACTACTTCTATCCAGTTCGGTTTGGATAAAACGCCGTATGCCCTATGCTTTTACCCTTTTCTTACCGAACCTCGCGGCTAATTCATCGCACGGAAGCCGGAAACATTTCGTTATTCGCATAAGCGTGAGCGATCTGCAATTACACTTCCATTCTTCCACCAATGAAAGTTTAAACGGATTTTGTAATTACGATATTTTCTTTTCTTCCCGTTATCGTTCAGTCGGATGAGATGTCTGGTTCCACAGAATCAAAATGTACACGAAAGGATCGTTAACTTCCGTGCAATTATCTAAGACCATCTTACTCGAAGAAATTGAAAATAAATATTATTTTGCAAAAACATTTTGGAAGTCTATGCAGCTAGTACGGCGGGGAAAGAATAACGCGTATTTGATGCTCGTTTTCGAAATTCAAACGCGAAAGAGACCGTATTTCATTTAGATAGGAGAGAATTACGCGTTTGACGTCCTCGCAAAGCTGGACCGTTTCTACTTTCCACGAGGAAAAATCGCTACGAGGCGCGTTAAAATTGTACGCTTACTAAATAACGTTTCGAAATGAACGCGGAGAGTTTGTCGCTTTGTTCGATTCCATGGGATAGCAATTTCTCAACGTTTCCGACGAACAAACGTTTCCTGATTATTTACCTCTGAAACTCGTCGACCGTTGTAATATTTCGACGATCACGTCCGCTGCTTTTAAATTTCACGTTCGACGCGATGCGACGCGTTCGAGGCGGACGTAACTTCGTAAATATTGCGAATTTCATGATTCACGGTTTCGCGTGCATTAGCGTATCGTCGAATGATGTACGCGACAATTAACGCTGATAAAACCGAACGTTTTCGTCGTTCGTCAATAATTTCTCTTCTTGTATCGGAGGTTTCGATAGAACGCGCGTAATCGCGAACGCGAAAGAGTGAATTTTGAAACGTCTAACTCGAAAGGTTCGAAAATCGTGATTTAAAGCCTTCCGTTGCACTCTGTCACCGCGTTCTTTGCTTCCGAGCAATTAATTCGGGGAGCAAGTCGGCTTAAAGGAACCATTCTTATTCGCAGACACGAAGATGAAAGCCCGTGGAAAGTCGAGGTGGAAATAAAAATACTTGAAAGAGCACTTCGTTGGGTGCCGAGGTAGCTTGATTTCTTGAAGGCGAAAAAAAACCCATCGGTCTTTCACGGAGGATTAATGTACAAATGGAACTCTCTGGTCTCGAAGAACGGGGTAAAAGAACGAAAATCAAAATCGCTGATTTTTTCGAATATTCGAAACTTTCTTCGCGAAAGAGGTATTTTTCGGAGAAAGTACGACGGCAAAGAAACGCGTCAGGCGAAACTCGATTACGTTACAATGTTTAGTTAGAACATACGATGCTTTCGAGATAGCTTTGTCCACGAGCCGGCTGAAGAAAGGATAGAAGAAAAGTGCGAAAATCAATTGTCTCCTATTGTTAGCCGAGCCAAGGAACGAGTGACAAAAAACCTGAAGAAAGCTCGAGAAAGATTGGACGGGAAGAGGATGAGATTGGTAGACATTTCGGCGAAAGAACAAAGTTGTTCGAAGTGAAAATGAATTATTATTGGCCGGTAAGAAATTGGAAATAAAACGCAAAGATAGTCGAAGAAAAAGGTAGAAAGTTTTGATATCGGTTTATACATATAAGAGTTACGAAGAGAAAGATTTTGGCTGATATCGTTTGGTGTTTTAAAAGTGACGCGACCGAGCGAAAAGAAACGAGAAGGAAATTCTCTAGTCCGAGATACAACGATGGTCAGGGATGCATCGGAGGAGTTGATGTCGACAAAAAAATTCTTTCTTCTCACGGATTTAAGCGGTTTCGCGACTCGCCACGTTGTTTCGAGGGAGGCGGATCTGGTCAGCTGCGCTTTTCCCAAGCCGTCTCGATCCTCCTTTTGGTCCGGTCGACCGCTTCCGCGCGAGTCCACCTACAAAATTCTCCTCTTTTGTCTTTCCTCGCCTCGTCGACGTTGAATTTCCGACGAGGAATTTCTCTCTGTTTCGTTAGGCGAGCTTCGTAGAAAATTTTTCAACGCATTTTTAAACACGATCCCGTAGGAAACTTTGATCCTTTAGCAGGAACTTATCAGGAGACTAACGGGATAATGACGATGCGTCGCAAAGGCAGAGACTTGTAACGGAAATTTAATCGAACGGACTCGGGGATCCATCTACGAGCGCATCGCTTCGATTTCCTGTCTTAAAGTTTCTCGCTATCTCGAGGAACACGTGGCGAACGTTTTGTAATCGTCGATGCGCGTCGACGCGAATATCGAGAAACGGAGCAAACCGCGAAAGCGAAAGAAGCGGGTCGAGTTTACGGGCTCCTCTACCGAAAATACGGGGAAGACCGCAGTCGGCAAAACGATCTTTGAAATTCCCCAGGAGAGTTTCGGTAGACGAACAAACGTTTTTTCGGACACGTACGCGTACCACTGTTCGTCGGAACCTAACATCGTTTCGACAGCAAGGGTATTTCGTCAACTCGAAACAAACAGCGTGCTCGGGGTAACCGTTGCGGTTATGTACCAAGTTGGAAAGTTCAGGAAAGATCGAGTTCATCGAAGAATCGTAACTACGAGTCGATATTCCCGTCTAACGAATCGCTGCGCGCTTATCATCGCGTGGAGTTAACTTTCCGGGGTCGCACGTGCTAAACGAAATAGAAGAAAATGCGAGAAGGGGCCAGGTGAAGCGCAACGTCGCGAGAAAGAAGGAGTTTCCAAGTTTTTGCTTTCGATGCTCGATAACGCGAGCGAAACACTCCGCGACTGTTTCGAATTTACGACGGGAAATGTTCATTAAATCGAACGCTCTACGAGCGGAAGAAGTTTCGAGGAGAAGTTTAGTTCACGGAGAGATTTAAAAGTTGAGAAAATTGTCGATATCGCGAGGCTCTATCGAGAGGATATACCGCGAGAAGGCATACGGTTGAAATTCGCTTGAAAGTCGGTGAAAGCTTGAAAAACCGTTCGTTCTTTTTAGCGATTCGTTTTTGGTATCCGCGCTTCGTATCGATCGGATTCTTGGATTCTGGTTCTATCCGATGCAGCTTCTTCGTCGAGAGAGAATCGGTGGGAAAACCGAAACTACGCCTTTAACAATTGCCCGTTTCTGTACGCGGCTTTTCCACGAAAATTGATTTATCGTCGTGCCGGTCGGTGTTGTGGATTTCGCTCGGTCAATTCACCGCCGAACAATCAGTCGTAAAAGCCATTTAAGAGCGAGCAAATCGAATTTCGCTTCTCCCGTTCGGAATTCCTCGATTACGAGAATAGTTAGGACTCGACGAAATTCTGCGGTGTAGCTAATTTTTTTACGTACGAAATGCTACATAGCACGATCTCGTACCCGTTGTCGTCGGTGACGAAAATTGCCTCGAATCGAATCGAAGCAGTTTTTTAATTGTCTTTGTTTTGATTCGGTTTGTCTTCCTGTGCGATGCAGAACGAATAAAATGAAAAAATGTTATCGAAGGGTACGCGAAAATAGTGGGTAAAAAAAGGGCGATTTCGAAATGAAAATTCTATGATCGCGTGCTGTCGATTCGAATCGAACATTGGGGATGATGCGCACTCTTTGTTCGCGATTGCTGCGTGAAACAAAACAGTAGAAAGTTTCACACGATTTATCGATACGAACGCGACGCGTGTATTCCATTTCCGTAAACCATGCTATACATTCGCATATTGCAATGTATTGTAATTGTTAAAATGTATTTTTCGGAGCTTTGAATTCCGGTGATAGAAAGATACAGAATATTCAGCCTTAGGCGCATACGCGTTAGGACAGGTTCGATGAATCTGTCAATTTGTAATCGATCAAGAGAGGCGTAAAGAATATTTTAGCCCGGTAGTGTCAATACGTTACTGTATTTTTAACGCTTTGTTCGGGTCGAACCTTGGACCTGCACCGGTGGGAACAATAGCGGAGGAAAGTGAATCAAAAATAATGTAGGTCAGAGAAAACGTCGCTGCGACTATATTTTATATCCATGGTTCGTGTACGAGAGGGCATAAAGTATGCAAACGTATACGGCTTCGTTATTTTTCGTTGCCGTCAACGGAACAGCAAAACGAAGTAAATAACCAATGTAGAAACCCAGCACGGTCGAGAACGCGGTTCATTAGAAGGTGAGACAAATTGAACGAACACGAATCGAGTGATTGCGAACAAACAAAGGCGTAAATGTATGGTTGGTATCGGTAAAAAGAAGGTAGAGCCAACAAGAATTCGTATTATAAATAGCGTTCCATTTTTCCGTTCAAAACCATTATTATCGCGGTTTTGTCTTCAAAATAAATTCTTTCTTTTAATTAATGTAATGTTATTTTCGTCAAAAGTTAAACGCTTTAGTAATGAACTTTTTTGTTAGCAGATTCATTTTAATCGATGCTAATTCATCTTTGCTATCGAGGAAACAATGGTAAGGAAAAAATATATATCAGGTACTCGTTTTATAGCGGTACAAAGCTGTAGGGTAGTTCGTAGCTACGTACAAAAAAGACAAAAGATACGAAGTAGATTTAAACGAGCGACACGATTATAACGCGTTATGGCAATGGGAAGGATGAATAACGAATCACGTCGAACGTGTAGAAAACGAAGAACTTTTGTTTCTTTATTATATTCGTTGTGTCGCGAGACTCTGTGATATCGTCTCTGCATTTACAAATCTTACTACAAGCCATCCATTCTCCACTCGATATAACTATTCTCTCTCTCTCTCTCTCTCTTTCTCTCGCACGCGCTCTTTCATTCTTGTATACACTCACACGGCACATTTTTTTCACTCGCTTCATCTCTTTTGATATACCCTTTGAACTGTACATTCGGCTCGAAAAGGACAACAAACCAATTCGTGCTTCGATACACTTTTTTCTCCTCTTTGAAATCTCATGAAAGTTTGCGTTATTTTGAAAATTGTTCGCAATGATCCCGCGGAAATGAAAATCGACAAGATTTTCTCGTCCCGCGGGTAGAAAATTTACAAAAGATCTCGAGCCATGAATTTCGATAGAAACATCGTCTAAGAGGGTTGGCAGTGATCGTTCGCGATGCAACGGAATCGATGTTTCTAACATCGCGAAATGTATAACATCAGGAACGTTGTAATTTCGATGGTATTTCGAGTTATTCGGTTTAATTCCAGTAACGATCGAAACGCGTTAAACGAAACCAAGTTCGTACAGGATTCTTGTCGAATTTCGTTTCCAACCGATATTTCGATCGCGTCGTTTCCTTTCGTAATTCGCTACGACACTTTTCGATCCTTCTCATGGGCCAATCTGTTCTTTCCGTCGACACTTTTTTCAACCAATTTCACGTCCCCGAACCGTCTCTTCTTTAATTGCTACAAATTTTAAGTGCGATATGTACCAACGGATAATTACATCATTTACGTTAATTATAATATTATATAATATATATATATGTACGTATATCTATATTTTATAATACTTTTCTGTTTTAAGATTCATCGTTCTCGTCGAGCTTCGTATATGTACAGGATCTTAACCAATTAAGTATACAATTTACAGAACCAACTTATATTTGCGAATGCAAAACTTTTCCTATCGTAAAAACGGCCACTAACTTCTCTATCTATTCGAGAAATAATTATTCCACCAGGATTAATACTTGTTATCGTTCACTTTACATCGCGATACAGTTCTTTATGCAATCAAGTAAACAGCTGAAATAAACGAATAGTCAGATGCTGAAGAAAAGTTGATGCTTCTTAAATATAAAATAACAATATGTTTGCAATTCAGATAAAGACAGATTACTTACGATATCTATTTGTATAAAATATAATATTATGTGCATATCGTGCAGCGAATGTTTTCAGCAATAAACGTATAAATACTCGAAACTGAAACAAAACTGTATTTTTAAATCCATTAACAAAGTACATATTTGTCCAAATATTCGTCGTCTAATTACCGCTTTGTTTATTTTATCGTTGAACGTGTCCCTTATTTATACGATACACACAGTTTCACGAAAATGTGTAGTATGTGGGAAAAATTCAAACCGTTTTGATTGTAAACATATTGCTAACCGATGGATTCTCGTCTACATGTGTTACAGAATGAAATATTTCGTTTTTTCCTGATGGTGGCTCGATTCGATCGGATATTTACGGCTATTAATACACTTTCAGTATATTTGTCGTGGATTACGGTATAAATATTTAAAAAATTGGCTCTTCGACTATCTCGGGGCGGGCACTAGCCGACTTATTTTCGTTGAAATAATTTGAAATACGTGTACAGGTAAAGATAGGGCCAGAATGCAAATTAATCTGTCGCGTCGATCCGAATATAAGAAAAGGAAAAAATTCGTTATTTTCCAAGTAGAGTTACCGTAAAAATAGTTTATCATTTTGACGGTCATGCGCTTCTGTTTACGCTTATGAAAGTTTTACTTAACAAACGCCGTAAAACGATTAATTTTCTAATTGCAATTATAACGCGATATCGACTGTGAAATCGTTCATTTGGTCCAATAATCGAGAAACGTTAACAGAAGGCAAATTGAAGCGTTAAACGAGAAAATCAATTACCAGTGTTTTAAGTACGATCAATAAATTACCGGCGGTAGGAAATTTTGAAAATAAGAATAATATTTCCGGACGAACAAAGCCGTCATAAAAAATTGTCGATCGTAGAACATGCATTTTCTGGCGGAAGCCAGTGTCGCACCTGCGGATACTTTTGCTTATAGAAGCAATTTAATCAGATCCTTCCGATCCTAAACCCAGCTGCGCTCGGCCGGCTCGTGTAGCGAAGGCGAAACGGAGGAGGAAGATGAAGAAGAAAGCAGCTGGATTTCGTGAGCAAAATTGATCTCCTTAACCCTTCCGCTACGACAGCTCGCTACACCGGTCTATCGTAAATCTTATCGTTACGCGCGAAAGACCGTTATAATGATCATCAGCTGAATCTATCTCTATTTATTTAAGCTTCAAAAATATTTCTAACACGATAAATATTTAACCGAGCGATTCATATTTTAACGCTATCGATATCATTTTTATCCGTTTAAATGATTCGTATAGGAACGATAGATTTCGCGAAAGAAATAGGTGCTCGAACGTAAACTTTATCGTAGAGAAAGGGTTAATCGTAATTTTCGTATAATTTTCTGCGAAACGTTCGCATTTTTTGTCGCATTCGCCTCTAGAAGGATCAGTCGAGTTTCTCTTTACCTGACTCGTCATTCGACCAGACAGACGTTATTAAGAATAATTTATCGATCGGCAAAACGTAGCAATTAACGCGCGATGTAATTGGTAGGACAGATTAACCGTTTCGCAGCAAACGACGTACATACACGATGTCGAAAATTGAATATTAACGTGAAAAAGTTTATGTACACATGATCGAATGATGGTTTCCTTCGTTAACGCTAGAAACGAGTAATATCATACATAGCGGATGTCGCAACGAAAGGATTAACCTACATATTCTTAGATATATCGTTGATCGTCGAATGCTCGTGCGCGATGTACGTACAGGATGTTAATTAATTTCGTGATTGAGCGCTTTTCTTACGTTTCCAGATCGAACTTTCGAATTTGTTATTTTTGTATCGTTCGCGTAACAGTAACGCATATTTTTGAATTATTCTATGGCAGTGAACAAGTTAACGAAGCCATGATCGTCAGTTTCTTAACAACCTGTACATATTCGCTTCGTTGAACGTCTTTTCGACGCTCCGACGAAACTCGTTACGCGTCATTCGAATGTTTCTTTCTGATCGCGTGATCGATCGAAACGAACGAGTCGGTCCGTTTCTCGCGAATAGCGATTCGTTGAGAGTGCGGCGTTGGTTGCACGCGTTATTCGCGCGTATTGCTTCCGTTTTCAATGTTCGCTGTACGCGTATACCTGTTCCTATGGTGCATGCGCTTGCGCGCCGTATCACGGCTAGGTCAAAGCAATCTCGGCCCCATTGTAATAAATATTCCTGAAGTATGTACACGGAACACCGTCGCTAAAACGAGGAAATCTTTGAAACTCTGCTTTCATTCTTTTCACGGTCAGCGAGTTCGCTCGCATCCGACATACATATATGTATTATACGTGCTCTAGAGACGGTTTCTACGGGATTCGATAGAAAAAGTAATCGGGTTTCTCATCGGAAAAAGAAAAATTTAATATCGTCGTAAAGTTCTTTTTGGTCTGTAGGTAATCTGAAATTATTTGTCCAGCGAGCAACATCCTAATCCAGAATGAATTTTCCAAGCTTCTCGAGCATTTTCAATTTATAGCGAGTCGATAACAAAGCGATATTCGTTATTCAAGAAATAGCTGAACGAGAAATTATTGAAATACGTTACGTTTCCGCTGGCCGCTCGAGAACGCGATTGTTAAATATCTAGGTCCAGAGTAATTAGTTGCTAATAAAAGTCGCGAGGCAAAATTAAACAAAAGAAAGGAAACGAGAGTGGTAGCAGGTACAATAAAGCGGAAAGCAGCAAGGTTGTTGGTAGACGAGCAGAGAGCGAGAGAGAGAGGGAGGAAAGGAGAAGAGAGGTAACAGGTAAGGAGGGTAAAGGACTCGCGAAAGGGGTGGATATTCTGGTTTGGCGCTTGGCCCACGCCACTGGAAAAGAACGTTCATTTGTCTTCCATAGAGCGTAGTCCGTGTTTCGTTTCAAGATACTAGGCACGGCCCTTTCTCGTCGCGAAACAATGCCGAGGCCTTCGAAAAATCTTGGAAAGCATAATAGCTGCCCTCCAAAACTACCGCTTCCACGAGATTTTCTTCCCTTCCACCTCCTCCTCCTTCTCCTCCTCCGCCCTCTCTATCGCCCGTCTTACTCTTCCTCTTTTTCTTCTTTCATTATTCTTGTTCTCGTATTCTTTCCATTTTTCTTTTACTCGGTCCCGTACTCTCGTGCTCGATCTCGAGTTGAAGCGGTATTCGTCGATCGATCGAGGAGAGAGATGATCGTCTCGCGAGGCGCTTTTGTCCGACTTCTTGAATGTTTCATGAGAAACGGGGGACAGGAAACAGAACGATTTTTATTATTCTGACCACTTCCGTTTCTCGTATTTTAGTTACGTCCACGGATAAATTATTCTCTTCTTTGTCCTTGGTCTCGAAGCGACCTCGATAAATACTGGACGTAACCCTTCTTCCTTCTTCTTTTGCCTCTTTTCGTTTCGAATATCTTTATTGAATAGTAATTGCAAGATGGTCCATTCGAAACGAACGCGTTTATTACGATCATTTCACTTATCGTTCCTCTTCTTTTTCTTTCGAAATGTGAAATAAACAGATTGGTCGACCGGAAATTTGCGCCGTAACATCGCGACATTAATCGTATCGACGATTAAACAGAATTGTATGATTCTTATCCTTTAGGATAAACCCATCCTACTTATACGAACACGTATAAGTTTCCCGTGAAAAAAAGCAGTCTCAAACGATCGCCGTAAAACCGGTGAAAACGCGCAATTTTTGATACGATGGTTAACGGATTGCTATAGATTACTAGAGCTTCGAAATTGGCTCGAATATCGCGAATGATTCGCGCGAATATCGGGACGCTCAGCGATTTCATTCAGCTTCTTCCATCGATTCGTTGATCGTTGGAAAGTCGAACGGCTCGAAGAAATCTCTGCGAGGACTAGCAGTCGTCCTGAGTGGACGAAGAGTGTAAAAGAGCCGCCACGCGTTCCGAGAAGTCCCCCGACGCTGATCCTGTACACTGAAACAAAATTTAAACAAATGCTCAGTAACTGTTCAAAGCGGAAAGTCTCGAAATATTTTTCGTTTGACTATTGTTAACGCGCGAACGTTTCTTTGCCAAGATTGACGAACGAACCTTCACGATTTTCTGTCGCAAGAATTCCCGGCAATGATGTCGCGAAAGCGCGTAAAAATTTCGTTATTCATTCGTGTCTCGATGAACGATCGGTGTTTGAAAAATATTCATAGATAAAAAGATGAAGTGAATCCCCGACGATGTCAAAGAGTTCTCGTCGTCGATGCGGAGAAGGTCGAAGAGGGATGGGAAGGTATCGAGAATCGAGGGCTGGCTACATCAGAGAGTATTGTTTAAACGATCCGTCGGTACGGAAAAATCCCTGACACCATAAAGCAACCGAGCGGAGGAACCCTTCGGGTCGGCAATGAAAACTTGAAAAAGTTCGTGCTTTTTCATTTTCAGCTACGCGGCCCGGCATCGTTGAAAGCGCAGACGATGCTGATTTCCCAACGGGTATCGTCCATCTATAAATCTATACCCCGAGGTTGTTTAGTCGATGCTATGCTTCGACTAAAGGTACGCGTGTGTGCGCGTGTGTGCGCGTGTGTGCGCGTGCGTGCACGTGTGTACGTGTGTAACGTGTAGTCTCGCAACTACGGCACCTTATATTTTTCATTCGACTCTGCTCACCCTCCACCGACCTCCTTCGCAGCCTTTCGAAGGAAACTTTTATCTCGCGAACAAACTTTATTTCTTATTTCTTAGCCCCGATCGAGAAATCCAGAAAACAAAAATTATTCATTCGACCGATAAAACCATCGATTCTTCGACGATTTATTCGTCCAGGCGAAAATGGAATCTTGATAAACATCTCGAAATCGCTGATATCCTGTTCGCGATGACATTTCTGCCTAACCGTTCATTCTCGTTCTATTTTTATTCCACAATTTTCCACGGCGCACGCCGAATTTTAATGTATTACGGTTTAGCAAACTTCGCTTTAAACGTAATTTGCTAATTATAATCGTGTTTCGGATTCGGAACATCGGTTCCTTGCTTTCCTTCGGAAGCCAGAAGGCAAAAGAGGAACTTTAACGAAAAATCCGAAATGCTGAAGCCGCGAAATGTATAGAGAGCGATTCCTCTGTCCTTTAAACGGACCGTTGTACATACGGCGTGTATACAGTGTTCAAAATTAAATATGGGAGAAGAAGGATATAGCAACGGACTCACGAATACGAAATATATGTAATTTAGTTATTCGTAAAATAACATTTTCAGTGTTTCCCGCGAAAAAATATTAGTGTTAATGAGACGGCAGCGTACGCGAACAACTGGAAATTTCAAAGCTTTAATTAACTTTCGCGAGTAATATAGAAAGCTCGCGTTTTATCGGGAAACATTTTTCTGAAATACCCGTAGGTCGGTTCGCGTTGGCAGGGTTAATGCAGCGTGTAATTGAAATCGTGAGCATGAAAGTCTGGACGTAATCGACAATTGAAAAATGACGAGTTGCGATTCGTTTAATACAAGCCGCGATGTGTTTGTTTAGCCGATACATTCGATATACTCGACGTAGGCGTGTAGTTTATTTAATAAAGAGAAATAAGTTGATATTTGCGTTGCGTTACATCACGATTCTTGCGAAACACGGACGAGTTTTTGATTAACGCTGAAATAATTTGATAAGAAAAAAAATGTCATTCGCAAACATTAAGAAAATTATGCGGCGAAATAACGCGAAACGCGTAAGAATTTTCGATTCGCTTTGTTTGGAAAAACAGTGGTAATATTCTGGCTGGTCGTTAGGACTGGTGGAATGGAGGGGTGGGGGCCGCAAACGAGCAAAGCGTTTGGAAAGCGATTCTCTCTGGAAAGTTGTCGTCGACGGCGACGCTTAAACAAATATCCCGAGGGTCTTGAACAGTTCCAAGCTATGGTACCGAGTAATCCTGAACGGGTCACGCCAGCTTCCGGAGTCGAGTAAAAAGAATTAAAAAAAAAACGAGTTCAGTCCCGTTTCGAACTTTTGCGCCTTTCTTCCTTAAATTCTCTTTCGCCCTCTTTCGTTCACGATTTCTTCTCTTTCGGAATATTCCTTTTTTTCCTCGTTGTCGGGCGAATCGAACGCGATAAAATAGAAAACGACTCGAAACGAAGGAAACATCTCGCCGCGAGAATTGTATCGCGTAAAAATTTTCGGCTATACTAAAACTTGACTCATCGAGAATCGCGCGAAAAGAAAGTAGAAACAATCGACGCTCGTGCCAGGCCCGTTCAGTCCTCGCGATATTTGCGGAAATTAAACGAAAGAGCGAGACTGTTTTTCACCCGACTTTGGATGAAAAAGTTTGTCAAATATTTATTCGACCGGTTCTGCAAAGCTGGCGAACGTTAAAAATTTACTCGCTGATAAAATAGCTCGCGAAAGGTAAAACTCGATTTAAACTTCTCCGAGGGTGGAGAAGAGGCCGCCAAGCAACGAGAGGATCGAGCCGAAATAAACTAAACGGTAGCGCGGGAATAACGCGAAACGATGGGAATATACGTAAGTAGAAAAATTGCGAGCAAAAAGTGGAAGCGCAGAGCTCACGTGGCGAACCTCCCTTTCTTCCTTCTTTATTTTGCCGTCCACCTTTGCTTCCTCGTTTCGAGGACAATTACGCTAATGCTCTCGCCATTCTCATCTTTTAGGAGGCAAATGTCGCGGAAGCGAGCAGTAAACGTTATCCGTTAGCCGGCCGATACTTTGACGGGGAGAGAATACTTTCGGCGTCTCGCGGCGATTCGCGGTCCTCCACTGAAAATTTAGATGGTCGAGCAAAATAGCGTTGGACATGTAGAGTGCTCACCAAACAGCTTACGAGTACCGACGCCGACGTTTACGAAGCGTTTGCGCTTCTAGAAAGAGCTTAGAAAGAGAAACGGAAACATTTTTCCGTTTCTGATAACCGGACCAGGACAATCATGCCTTTACGAGCACAATTGCTCGTCGCTGATTCGAAACGTAGAAAATTATGTAATAGTTAGCGAGTCGTTAGTTTAAAGCGAACTCGCGCTCTACGTTTCCCATTTCGGCTCAGTTATCTGCGATGTGCTAATTGAAGCCGCAATCTTTTTTCCTCCCAGGCAAGAATCAATGGATTTCGAAATTGGTTCGCTCGGATTCCAATTACATGCCGCAGATGGTGCTTTTTGCTCGAGGATCAATGGACTCGAATGGACCTCTTTTTCACTCCATGGTAATTAAATTGGCCGCAATTTACTTGCTCGAAGCGCGAACTTGATAACTCTCGTGCGTGGAACATCGTAAAATGGAATTTCACGGAATCAAAGTTTCAATATATCCAATGTTCCGTCGTAGGTTCGTTCGTAGGACCGAAGAATGTCGACGGTTCGTGTAAAGTTTCATTTAGTTTTTTCTCGTTGCTACGGAGAAATACGATTTATCGTATTTTTTTGCTCCGACGAAGCGATGCTTCAATAATTCGTCCGTTAATTCGAAGCTGCGTTCTAACGGACAGCGCGGGAAAGCTGTTTGCCAGACAATTCGTTCGCCAAATAATTCCTGCCTCTATCTACGCGCGAAAAAGTCCATTTGACGTCGCGAAAGTCCGTTTTCAAAACTCTCGATACGTCCAACGGCAAATAAAAAAATTCGATTTGTTACGGATCAAAGGTTTTTTTTTTTTATATAAAAATGACGGGCTATCTGCTTCGATACAGAGCACTTGACGAGTATTTTATCTATATTTTTAAATCGCGGATAGCGCATAAAAATGGTTCGAAAACAAAATAATCGAAGAAAATTGTAAATAGCTCTAACGCGATAATAATTTCTTTAAGTAGCGAGCCCGAATCTGGGAAGAATTTTCAGCTCGTAACGATCACGTTTCGGATAATTCATCGCGTTAACCAGCCAGAACAAATTATACGCGAAAAGCTTCGAATACTTTTTAAATTCTAAACGAAGAAGCTTAAAAATGTAAGATGCGCGGAGAAGAATCAAGGTTCGAGAGAATATCCGCAAGGAACCGAAGAAATAAGAACAAACGTTTTTGCAGTTATTCCGTTCCTCTGACTTAACGACTTTGTAGGAATCGTGTCTGTTTCGTAAGTGGGACAAGAGAAGAAAATTTCTGTTCGACGGGGCGAAAGATGATCCAATGAGAAACGAGGATAAGAAACTGGAACGGCAACTGAAGCGGACAAACGAGTGATAAAAACGAAAAACGATCGCGCTTTCGCGACTTTCCGTAAATGAGATTTATGCCCTATGGCGGTGAACGAATAACGATAAAAGAGCGGTTACCGATCGGGCAAAAATTCCCGAATCAACTTTCGGCCGTTTGCCAAATATTTGTCGAGGAATAATCGAAACTACGGAAAAGAACCAGTACCGTGTCATCGATTCGATCGTCTCGCGAATGTAACCGTCAAGGAAGTTGGTTATTCTTACTCTTTTCCTTCGTTTTATCTGTTCGGCGTGACCGTAAGTTAGCATCCATAAGCGGTCAAAGTTTTGTTCTTTGGTATTCCGTTGGATCTTGCGGTGTCTCGTATATTAGTTACTTAGCGCGTTACGCGCGAAAAATACACTGACATGGCAAATTTTCCTTTTCAAATATTCCTCGTTCGCGGCTAAAATTTCCGAAACTGTTCCGTGGAATCGGGTCCATTCGCATCCGCTAAATTATTCTGTAAGAACCAATTGTCCGTAAAACGTTTGGAAGAAAAATGGCTGGCTGGAGAACTCTCTCTCGAAGGCAATTAATTGGAACGTCTAACGAGGACACGGTAGGTGTAACGTATGCCGTTATCCGCAACATGGTTAAGGCGTAACTGATACCAATTAAATCCTGAATGAGTACTAGGTTGCCTCGTTGTGTACCTTATATGCTTGGGAGGATCGACTATAGCGTGTATCCTGTGCTTGTAACACGAGACGGACGAGCCTCAAGCATATCCACGACATGCACAACAAGAACAACAACAACAAC